CTTACGATATTGTTTACTGACATTCTCTCCCCTTATATTGTAAGTTCTGTGAGGAAAAAGACCATATCTGATTTATTTGCCATTATATTTTCAGAGTTTAGCATGATGTAGTGGTTGCTCTAGTAGTGGTTGCTCTAGGTATTACATTTATTTACATAACTTATCACAGTCTATTGGTGATGATATTTTACTAGTTTCAGTGAAGTGTAAAAATTCTACCTCCATTTAAGTCCCTGTACTCTCCCCAGTTTATAAATTGTCTTAAATGTTTCCTTTATATATGTTGAGAACTCTGTCAAACAATGTTATAATTTTTGCTTCTATCATCAAACACAGTTTAGAAAACTCAATAGAAGAAGGAAAGTCTACTGTATTTACCCATATTTTTACTCTTTCCATGGTTCTTCCTTCCTGATGTCCCAACTTTCATTTTATCATCTTCTTTCTGTTCAGAAAAACTTTATTTAGGGCCGGGCGCTGTGGCTCACGCCTGTAATCCTAGCTCTTGGGAGGCCGAGGCGGGTGGATTGCTCAAGGTCAGGAGTTCAAAACCAGCCTGAGCAAGAGCGAGACCCCGTCTCTACTATAAATAGAAAGAAATCAATTGGCCAACTGATATATATATAAAAAAATTAGCCGGGCATGGTGGCACATGCCTGTAGTCCCAGCTACCAGGGAGGCTGAGGCAGAAGGATCGCTCGAGCCCAGGAGTTTGAGGTTGCTGTGAGCTAGGCTGACGCCACGGCACTCACTCTAGCCTGGGCAACAAAAGCGAGACTCTGTCTCAAAAAAAAAAAAATAAAATAAAATAAAAAAAAAAAGAAAAACTTTATTTAGTCATTCTCTTACGGTAGGCCTGCTAGCAAGAAAGGTTCTTAGTCTTCCTTCATTTCAGAATGTCTCAATTTCCCCTTTATTCCTAAAGGATATTTTCACTGGATATAGAATTCTAGGCTAGTTGTTCTTTTCTTTTGGTACTTGAAAAATGTGCTGCTTTCTCCAGGATGCCATGATTTCCCATAAGAAATCTGCTGTCATTTGAATTATTTTTCCCTCATTCCTAAGCTGTCTCTCTTTTGTTGCTTTCAAGACTTTTTTTTTTCTTTCTCTTTCAGAAGTTTGACTATCATGTGTCTTGGTGGGGATTTATTTATTTATTTATTTTTTGAGACAGAGTCTCACTCTGTTGCCCAGGCTAGAGTGCCATGGCATCAGCCTAGTTCACAGCAACCTCAAACTTCTGGGCTCAAGCCATCCTCCTGCCACAGCCTCCCAAGTAGCTGGGACTACAGGCATGCGCCACCATGCCTGGCTAATTTTTTCTATGTGTTTTTAGTTATCCAGATAATTTCTATTTTTAGTAGAGACGAGGTCTCGCTCTTGCTCAGGCTGGTCTTGAACTCCTGAGCTCAAACGATCCACCTGCCTCAGCCTCCCAGAGTGCTAGGATTACAGGCATGAGCCACTGGGCCCGGATGGTGCGGATTTATTTATGTTTATTTTGTTAGGGATTCATTCGCCTTCTTTAACTTGTAGGTTTATGTCTTTTGCCAAAGTTGGGAAATTTTCAGACATTATTTCTTTAAATACTTTTTGAGGTCTACTCTATTTCTACTCTCCTTCTGGAGCTCTGATGGCAAAATTATTAGATAATTTGGTATACCCTACAGGTCCCTGAGCCTCTGTTCTTTTTGTGTTTGTTTGTTTTCCAGTCTATTTTTTTCTCAATTCAGATTAGATAACTTCTATGTTTCTATCTTCAGGTTCACTGATTCTTTCTTCTCTCCCCTCCATTCTTCTGTTGAGCCCATCCACTAATTTTTTTTTTAATATTATATTTTTTCAGTTCTAAAATCTCCATTTTTGTTTCTCTATATCTTCTATTCTGAGGCTTATTTGTTTCAAGAGTGTTTATAATTGCTCCTTGGAGCATTTTTATAATGGCTGCTTTAAAATCCTTGTCATGTAATTTCGACATCTGTGTGATCTTGGTGTTGGCATCTGTTGATTGGTTTTTTCCATTCAGTTTGAGAGTGGAAGTTCATTCTAGGTTGTTGGTATGATGAGTACTTTTACACTGTGTCCTGAACATTTTGGGTATTATGTTATGAGACTCTGGATCTTATTCAAATCTTTCTTTAGCAGGCCTTCTCTGACACTGAGTTAGTAGAAGAAGGGAGATGCTACCTTCTAACTGCCTGGTTGTGGTGGAAATCAAAGTTCCCCATTGGACCTCCTCTGATAGGTTTGAGGGGGCAGAGTACCTCATTATTGCTGGGCAGGGGTGGGATTTCAAGCCCCCCAGGAGACCTCCATGGACTCCATGGTGGTTGGAAAAGAGAGGGATACCTCCACTGACACTTTGAGGGTGTGAGGGGGACTCATTACTACTAGAAGATGGTGAAAGTTCTGGCTTCCCACTTGGCCTTCTCTGACACCATCCTGCTAGCGGCGGGGGGGGGGGCACCTCCTAACCTGGTAAGGGTGAAAGTCTAGGCTTCCCATTCAGCTATTAATACTAGTCATGGGCAGGAATGTGACTACTGCTTTTGCTGTGATATTTGGTTGGAGTAGATATGGCGGTGTGTCCGGGGTCTCCACAAACACTCCCAAATTCAGCAATTCACTAGAAGTACTCACAAAACTCAGCATATAGCTGTATTCACAGATCAGATTTATTACAGAGAAAGGTTACAAACAAAATCAGCCAAGGGAGAAGCCTCATGGAGTGAAGTCTGGCGGAAACCAGGCATAAGATTCTAAGAGTTTCCTCCCGGTGGAATCACACAGAATGAACTTACTTACTTCGACAGTGAACCGTGACAACAGTTACGAAGTGTGTCTACCAGGGAAGTTCATTAGAGATCCAGTGCCTAAGGTTTTGGGGGAGATTGATCACATAGGTACACACTGCCTAGCAGGTATCAAAACTCAAGACTCTCAGAAGGAAAGCAGATATGAGGCATAAGCTGTATTGTTTTAAGTTAATGTTAAACTTGACTTGATGTTTTCTGCCTTCCTAAGCTTTCCCCTTCCTGGTCATTTGCCTAGAAAAAGCAGACTTGGGGGGTAGGGAGTGTTGTCTGAACCCACTGGCATTTCCAAGCTGTCTGCATCTCCAGCATCCAGTCTGGGATATATGAAGCAAAAAGACAGCCCAGCGAACTTGCTGCCATGTCTTTCAAGATAACTAGCCTTATCTCTAACTTTCAAAATCTCTTTACATTTATTTTATATATACTATCCAAGGTTTTCAGCTGTACTTTGCAGAAGGAATAGGAAGAAGCTCAACTACTCCATCCTGTGCCCAAACTAGAAGTCTTTGTATTACTTTTATAATTAGGAAAAAAGCAATTTATTATTTTCATTTAGAAAACAAAACATATGTATATGACAGAGGACTTACCGTGAATATAGGGTCAAATTACCATCAGGAGGCAAAAACATTAGCATGATTTGCTTCCACTTATTTTAATAGTAAAGTGCATTTTCCCTGACTTATAAAAATAGTATGTACTCGTTATAAAAAACTGATTCTACTTTTCTTTAACCCAGGTTAATTGTTAGTTTTCCTTATTTAGTGAAGGGAAAGAAAATCCCAAAGTTAAGTGATACAAGTAGATCTACCATTTGATCCAGCAATCTCACTACTGGGCATCTACCCAAAAGATCAAATGACATTCTACAAAAAAGACACCTGCACTCAGATGTTTATAGCAGCACAATTCCCAATTGTAAAGTTGTGGAAACAACCCAAGTGCCCACCAATACAGGAGTGGATTAATGAAATGTGGTATATGTATACCATGGAGTACTATTCAGCTCTAAGAAACAATGGTGTTATAGCACATCTTGTATTTTCCTGGATAGAGCTGGAACCCATTCTACTAAGTGAAGTATCCCAAGAATGGAAAAACAAGCACCACATGTACTCACCAGCAAATTGGCATTAATTGATCAGCACCTAAGTGGACATATAGGAACAACATTTATCGGGTGTTGGGCATGTGGGAGGGGGAAGGACGGGCCAGGTATATACATACACAACGAGTGAGATGTGCACTCTCTGGGGGATGGTCACGCTTGAAGCTCTGACTCGAGGGGGGAGGAGGGGCAGGGGCATTTTATGTAACCTTAACATTTGTACCCCTATAACATGCTGAAATTAAAAAAAAAAATCATGATCATCCTCAATGGGCTGAATGTAAAAAAAAAAAAAAAAAAAAAAAAGATTGCAGGGTGGCAGAAGATGAAGATTAGATTCATTTAATTTCACCATCATTTTATAGGCAAAGAAAGAAGAGTAGAATTCTCCTATAGTTGAAGTTTAGAAGTAGAACAGTCCCTCCATAGATGGCCCTGTAGGCAGTTTCCCATGCACAGTGTTATAGAAACAGTAAACTTGCACTTCTTGTTTATACCCAAAATCATAAGCATAAGAGATAATATCTTCTTAATCATGGAAGTAATAATAACAAATGTCCCTACCCACAAATTCTTGACTCATGAAACTATTTCTGAGCTGAAATTTTTAGCATAATATATTACTGCCTAATTAACATTGAATTTGAAATCTTTAAACAAGAACATCAAATTGTTATTATGTTTCAGTATTTCATATTATGAGAGTAATTTCATTTATTTGTTTTTTATACCCACAGTGACTCACAAGTGGATAAATTAATATCTCCCATGCCTCAAGAAATATTAATGAAATGTCTAGACAGTCACAATCTAAACATTTACAACATAACAAAACAAGCTTTGCTCACTAAGAAGCTATCTGTAATGAATAGGCTACCATTGTTTTATTCATTATATTCTCAGTCTTCAGGAGACATTGTTTTAGCAATGTGTTTATTTCCAAAGAGCGTTGGAAACCCTCTAGACAGGCTTTGAGAGGCAGCCTTGCCTAAAATTATCCTTCTGACCTTGAGGAAATCAATCTCTCCTGACCTCAATTCCTATTTGTAAAAATAAGCTTACTGAATGACCAAAAGATAAAAAGATAAATAAATTCTATATTTCAGAGCCTCTATGGTTTAATAGTTTTCAAGCAATAGCCTATGGACCTGGGCTAGATTTTGACAGAATTTCCATCAATCTTCCACTTTCATAAGAATCATGTAGTTCATTGTTCATAAAGCCGAATGGAAAGTCATGTTCTTCCTCTTTATTGATAACTATTCTTTCTTCTTTGATATCTGCATTTCTATCTTCTGGAGTTCTCAGAGCTTCTTTATTCATACTGAAATAATTTTCATAGAAAATTTACATTTAGTGTTTTGAATTTTATTGATAATATCAAAGTAGTAACTTTTTTCATGCTGGTGTATAAATATTTTAAAAGTGATTTGTTTTGAAATATTATTTCTGGTTTTACATAACAGAAACTTAGTTGAGGCGGGAGGATTGCTTGAGCTCAGGAGTTCGAGATCAGCCTGATCAAGAGCAAGACTCCGTCTCTACTATAAATAAAAAGAAATTAGCCAAAAAACTAAAAATAGAAAACATTAGCTGGGCATGGTGGCATGTGCCTGTAGTCCCAGCTACTCGGGAGGCTGAGGCAGGAAGATCGCTTGAGCCCAGGAGTTTGAGGTTGCTGTGAGCTAGGCTGATGCCACAGCACTCTAGCTCGGGCAACAGAGTGAGACTCTGTCTCAAAAAAAAAAAAAAAAAAAATTAAAAAAATAACAGAAATTTAATCAGGCTAGCCTGAGCCAAAAGGAAGGAGGACAGGATGGGGAAAGGTTTTAGAAAGGCACAGTATTTGACACAGGATATTAGTTGAATGTTGTTGAACTGGGAACCAAAGCAAATTCAAGGTCCTCAACAATAAGTCCACAGAACTTATCTCTATAGTACTGCCGTTCATATGACTCTGACCCAGTTTAATGTATTGCTCAGCCCAAATTCCAAAATCCAAAGATCAAATCTTATTGGCCTAACTTAGGCCACATGTGCATCTCTGAACGAATCAGTTCCACCTAGGGGATCAGGTTTGGCCTGAGCTCGCAGTTGGTGAGGGTTCCCAGGAATGAGGGCCTCTCTGTAGACCAAATAGCCACTCCTCAAGTATCTTCCATGCTGATAATTAACAATGTTAATTCTTTTCCTGACAGGTCTCAATATGACTCCTTTTCTCCCCTAAACATTCTAGTTAATTCACTATTCACTCATCTACTCTATTCTCTAATGATAGTCACATTTTATCTATAAGCAAATCATTTTCTTCCTCTGCATCCATATCTTAACTCTTTGGACTTAAATTAATTTTAAATTCTATCACCTGAAAATGTATTTTCTGCCATCACTGTTACTAGCATATCTAAGAAGTATTAAACAGTCCTAAATCAGTTCTAAGTTCTCAAATCTTGAAGTGTTTCATATTCTAAATTAACATAGATCTCCACATTGATTTTTCCTTAAAATTACATTCTCTGAATTTGATTACATTTTAATAATTTCAATTTTGACATGAGTCACGATTTTTATTCATTTTTGACATAGTGAATCTAAACTATATTTTTCTTCTTATGACTTCCTCATTATGTTAATAATATTAATAACAGCTATTATGTATGCATGTAAGCACCATAAATGTAATATTTCATTTAATTCTTTACCCATCAACTTTATGGGTATCAAATTAAAACACTTTTTTGTCCCAAAACAAAAAATGGGGAAACTGTATATCCCATGTTTTGCTCATGGTTTGAGAAAATCACTAGCAACAATTTGTTTAAAATCAGAATTTCTTGCTTGGTGCCCTGCCTCTGACCTTGTTTTAGCTCAGTTTCTGCTTCCTCAAGACGACTGAGGAATGAAACATCAAGACTCCAGCTAACAGCCACAGACAAATCACTGTCCTTGCTTTGTAGGTGTATTGATTTTTATTTTCAATCAACAGTTAGCATATCTGACACCTGGCACTATTCTGCCCAGATTTCCCATGTAACAACTGAGGTGGTCATGATGCTTTTGGCCATGAAAAATAAAATTTCAAACATTAACTAGCCACCTGCTTGTTTTTTATTGTGTTTTTTTTTTTCAGACACCACCAACAGAATTTATTACGCAAAGCAGTTTGAGAAATTCCAGGCATAGGTCTCATCCAGTTACAAGAAAACCAGAACCTCTTTAAACCTGCCCTCCACCCGCAGCTGAAGTGAGAGATTAAAGGCTATAGCCCAAGTTATGTCAGGGCTGCTATATCCTCATTCTTGATTAATAATCTCAAAGTCACAAGTGGGCATGATGTAATTTGGCTCAAAATGTTACGCAGAAGACCTCAACAATTAAAATAAGACAAGTTCGGAGATATCATCATTCCAATAACAGAAAGATACTGAGAGCTTTTAACTGGCTGTGAGAGGGGGAAAGATCTTCTGTTTATAATAGCCATAATCAAATGGAACTGTCTAATAATCATCAGAGAGTGTAAGCCTACGAGGAGATGCTAATCCTGCAGGGTGGGGAAGTTTATGAGCTGACCAAACACTCCTGGACTAGTCAGAGGCACTATTTAAGGTCTTCCCATAAATGTCCTCAGCTAGGAGATTCCTGGCTGCCCAGTGACAAGGGAAGGTGCCTAAGGGTGGGGGTGGGGGTGTTGGGTGGGCAGTTGGCTCTTCACCTGGCAAATGAAATAGCAGTTCTCAGCAACTGAAGAAGTGATTTTTAAGAAGTGCTAGATGTCCACGCATTGATTTCCACATTCGTGGGGGATGCAAGCTGATTGAGGTTGCATCGTCCATGAATTTTGGCTCTATTCATGTTCACATTGTTTTTAAATTATCCTGGGCACCTAGGAAAGTTAGGTCCACTTCTTTTTTTTTGAGACAGAGTCTCCTTTGTGTGCCAGGCTAGAGTGAGTCCTGGCGTCAGCCTAGCTCACAGCAACCTCACTCTGGCTCGAGCGATCCTTCTGCCTCAGCTCTCATAGCTGGGACTACAGGCATGTGCCACCATGCCCGGCTAATTTTTCTATACTACTATTAGTTGCCAATAATTTATTTCTATTTTTGGTAGAGACGGGGTCTCGCTCAGGCTGGTTTCGAACTCCTGACCTTGAGCAATCCGCCCGCCTCAGCCTCCCAAAGTGCTAGGATTACAGGCGTGAGCCACCACGCCCGGCAATTTTCATTGTTTTTAAAATTATCCTGGACCAGGAAAGTTAGTCCCTTTTTTTATTCTCCTTTTATCATCAGACCGAACAGCACTTATCTCCAGAAACATTGCACTCTACACTAAAACTGCTGACAATCCCTCATCGCAGACGCGGAGTGGCAGATTTTTATGAAAATCAGTTTCTGGGCCAGTTAAGTCTTGACAAAGGTGTCTCTTCATAACTTAGCCTCCAGGTGCCTCCTGGCCAGTCGTGGTGGAACCAGGAACCAGAAAGACTGATTTCTCCCGTGACTCAAGGAAGGCACTCCAGGAACAAGGGCATTTCCCGGCACCTGCCTGTCAGACCCTGCTCTGTTTGCTGAACTTTCCTCAGCATGAACAGGTCATTCAGGCTACAAGTTCCCCAAAACTATCCCTACTTGTGTATTTAAGGAACACTAACTCCTCTGGATAAGGCCTTCTGTTTACAAAGAATTATAATTATTAATTATTAATTATTGAATCACCATTCAAAAGAAACTTTGGCATCAAAACCCACACCTACCCCAGCCTTTGGGCCCTGAGGTGCTCGGAGGGGGGATGAGGGCGAGTCCAATTATCATCAAGGATTCTGGTCATTGGGGTCACACTTGATCATGACTTTCACTCCCACTCCCTTCTAGGATGTTTCAAAAGCCTCCAGAGCTTTCTCAAGAGGAAACCTATGAGTGACTAATGGCTTTACATTCACAGTCTTGGACGCCAGCATCGAAATCACCACTGGCCACGTGTTGCAGTATCGGAACACGCCCCTGATATCCACTTCCCGGACGGCTGCGTTCAAAAGGGGTACAGTGTTCATCTCAGAGCCCAGCCCCACGAGCACCATGGTCCCACCGGAAGCAGTGGCGTAGATGCCAGCCTGGATGCAGGCTTCCGCCCCGGTGCACTCAATGGTGACATCCGGCTTGCACCCCAGCAGACCTTGCACTTTACTGGCGACCTCCTGAGGGGTCTCCTTGGAGACCTGGAGGACTAAATCAGCCCCGACTTCCTTGGCTTTGGACAACCGAGAAGAAGACAGATCAGTCACCACTACTTGAGCTGCTCCCATTGCTTTGGCCACAAGCAAACTGACCAGCCCTATTGGCCCAGCTCCACACACAAGGACCTTGTTCCCCAAGGTGACTCCAGCTCGCCTGCAGGCATGAATCCCCACAGACAGTGGCTCAATCAGGGCCCCCTCCTCAAAGATGACATTGTCAGGAAGCTTGTAGCAAAAGTCTGCATTGTGCTTGTAGAACCGGCAGAGGTTCCCATGATCAGGGGGTGTAGCACAGAAGAAGATGGTTGGTGACAGATTGTACCGGCCAACCTTGCAGAATTCATCGGTTTCTCGGGGAGCCCCAGGCTCAATGGCAACTTGATCACCTGGTTTGAGGTGCTTCACCAATGATCCCACTTTTGCGACTGTTCCCGAAGCTTCATGCCCCAGCACCATGGGTTTTTCCACAACAAAATTCCCAATTCGTCCATGCTGCCAGTAGTGGACATCTGAGCCACAGATTCCAACAGAATGCATCTTCAGTAGTACCTCATTTGGGCCTGGTTCATGGATAGGATAGTTCTCCAGGTGCAGGTCCCTGGCGCCATGCACCACCAGGAACAGGTTCTCGGGGTTGCCCTTCGCCGCCATGTCGCTCTTTCACTCCCGGGTGCTGTGTGTCTGAAGGTTGCGGATCTGTGGTGGCTCTGGTGGCTGCCCCACCGGTGGTCCGGTGTTAAGGGGTGGGAAGCGGGGCCTCTTTTTATTGTTATTGTTTGTGTGTGTGTGTTTGTTTTAATAAACTGCTCCAGGGATCCTTCCATTTTCCAACTCTATCCCACTTCCAATTCTGTTTCATCTCTGAATGGGCTGGCTCTTCGATCCTTCTGCTGGTGCCCTTGCTATTAAGTTACTGATCACTGACATACGCTAAGGTTAGTATGTCTAAGAAATGCATTTAACCCAGGTTAAATATTATCATTACATCCATTGTGCAGACAAGGAAACAGAGTCATAGTGATGTTAAGTGCTTAAGGCCACATTTCAGGTTAGTGGAATATTTTATACTCAGGTAGTTTGATTCTGTGGCAGCATTGTCCAATAGAAATATAATGGAAGCCACATGTGTCATTTTTAATTTTCTAGTAGCTACAAAAAATGAGTAAAACAGAAGTAAAACAGAAGTGATTAATTTTAGTCATATATTTTGTTGAACCCAATATATTCAAAAAATTATCATTTCAATATCTAATTAATAAAAAAACTAATGAGATTCTCACAAAGCGAAGTATATTCTTTCCATAAGATCCAGCAAGCACATTCCTTGGCATTTACTCAAAGGAGCTGAAAATTTATGTCTGCACAAAAACCTGCACACAGATGTTTATAGCAGATTTATTCATCATTGCCCAAACTTGAAAGCAACCAAGAGGTTCTTCAGTAGGTGAATAAACTGTGATACATCCATACAATGAAATATTATTTAGTACTGAAAATATAAGCTCTCAAGCCCTTGATTCTGTCTTCCAATTATTGGGGGAGGGAGGAGCTTGCAGGATGATGTAGACTGGCCAACCAGTCCTTCAGAGTTTTTATATGATACACATAAAATAAATATCGGGCCATATGCTTACATTTGAAATCATCTTTCAAAGATGGAAGAATAGTAATGAAGTAACGAAGAATCATTCTGGGGTACATAGCTTCCCTACTTCCTAGAAAGTATTCCTCTGGACGAGTATTCTTCACCTCTTTTTGCTTCAGTTCTCACATCAGTAAAGTGGGCATAATTGTATTTATCTCACAATGTCATGTAGTAATTGCCCAATAAACATCTTTTAAAGTCTCTATGTTACATTTGTGACTTATAAAACAACCCATAAGCCTACTACTAATTGAATAAAAGACTATAGATTATTATGTTTCTGAGAAACAAATGCCTGGCAAGGGAATTAAGTTTGCTCAAATATAGCTTAATCTGATTATAGCAAAAAGGGAATAATTTCCAATAATCACATGACATTGCGCCAGTTCAGCAAAACCTCCCAGATAGTCACAGAATCTGGAGTTGTTGAAGACACAGTCTTTGTTACATTGTGCCATCGTACCTTCTGTTTCTTCCATCCTACTTTTTCTGGAAAAGAAAAGGTTAACGTTCTTGCTGGTCACCTTGATTCTTAGATCTTGCTTGATTAATATCCTCCTCTGTATTGCTTGACTTCAGTTTTTACCTGTGTAATTGCTCTTAGTGTGTCAATGTTTTAAGTACGACACATCTCCTGCCTCTGTCAACACGAAAGTAATTAAGAGTTCTGATGAGGAAAAAGAGAGACAGAGACAGAGAGAGTTCATATACTTTTCTTTAAACAAGTTATGCTACATCCATTGTGTACTTTATGCTCAGAGTGCATCTCAGTTCATACTAACCCTATTTCAAATGCTCAGTAGCCACCATGGCTGCTGGCTATTGTACTGGTCAGCATAGAATCTGCCCTTTTAACCCTTTATTCTGTCCTGCCCCCATTGCATTCTTCTATGCTGTATATTTCTTCATTATGCTTTTTTTAAAAAAAATAAAAATTCTTTTTATTTCTCTAAATTGTATCATATCAGAATTAAAATAATCTATAACATGGTCACAGGAAATTTTAAAAACCAAGTCACTCAAAAGGATAGTTTTAAGCACCACCCCAAACTTTCAGAAACTATTATTGCATTCATACTTCATCTGTGGAGGAATATGTAGTTGTCGGCATTTTTAAGTTTTTAAAATATCACTTAAAAGTAAGTTTAGCCTGGTGCAGTGGCTCGCGCCTATAATCTTAGCACTCTGGGAGGTGGACCGGAGGATCGCTAGAGATCAGGAATTCGAGAACAGCCTGAAAAAGAGCGAGACCGCCTCTCTATAAAAAAAAATAGAAAAATTAGCCGGGTATGGGGCGCTCACCTGTAGTCCCATCTACTTGGGAGGCTAAAGCAGGAGGATCACTTGAGCCCAGGAGTTTGAGGTTGCAGTGACCTATGATGACACCACTGCACTCTAGCCTGGGCAACAGAGCAAGACCTTGTCTCAAAGAAAAGTAAGTTTAATTATTAATAGTATTTCTAGGTTCAAACTGAAATTTAATTCATTCAACATCTGCTGGGCATTTGCAGTGGTGCATATTGTGCTAGTTGCCAGAAAACAAAGAACCCCTGAAAGAGGGGGTGCAAATGTGAGAGACGGAACCTGAGGGTGAATGCATTTGTTACCTGCTTTTCCCAATTGCCCTCCACTGTGAAATCCCAATACTGCCAGTGTGCACTACCACCTCACTGAGGACTTAAAGTAGATTATAGACAGATTTTTTCCCTTTATTTTAAAGCATGTTTTGCCATTAATAGGTGTAAAATTGTGATGCCTAAAAGGAAACCCAGATCCCTAAGGACCTATATAGCAGGTTTGATGGAAGAAAATTAAGAATGTAGCTTTCTCCCAGATTGCCCCTTTTAAGTCATCCAGAAGAGGAAATTATTTTAAGACAGCTTTTTTAAAAACTGACATTAGTTTAGGTAAATATATTAGTCTTTAACTAGAGAGTAAATTCAGACTCTGCCATACAGAAAGAATTTCAAATGTCTCCGTATGTTTACATAACTGCTCTTATAAAACTCTTGCTGCAACTACAGTTGTTCGTGTTATTGGGGACTTGTTAAACACCAACAATTGAAATGCTATCTTTTATACTACCTACAGATTGAAGGAAATTAAATTGACTTTTAAATAAACTTATGTATACCATCCTAAAAATGACAGTTCTATCAAGCTTCCATTTGAGCAATTGTATAATCACATAATTATTACAGAGAAACTGAAGAAGAGAAATGGAAAAATAAGTCTAGAAGATGAATTTATTGCTATTTTTCTGGATCAATAGAAAAGACTTGTTAGAAAGCAATAGAAAATTATGTACATTATGTAGAAATTGAATAAAATGGAAGCAATTTACTAACAAAAATCCCATTTACGTAATGTATGTTTGTAAAACACTATCCTGAGAATGATAATTACGATGCTATCATGTTTCCATTTGAGCCCTTACATAATCACTTAACTAACAGCAATAAAACTGAAAGAGAAAATACTCAAAATTATTTTAGAAGACAAAATTCTTGCTGTGTTTTCTGGATTATTTGAATAGACTTGTGAACAACAACAAAAATACTGTAATTACACTACCTACAGTCAGAAGAAAATGGAAACAATTTACTTTAAAAGTTCACGTATAAGTAATCCACAGTTATAAAAACAGTATCTTAAGAAATATAATTCTCTCTGGCTTTCCTATGAGGCATCACTTAACAGCAATGAAACTGAGAGAAAATATCAAAATCACTGTAGAAGAAAACAAAAATGCCTTTTCTGGTGATGCTGATCTTTGGAGATGGGCTTCTTGGGAGGCAGGGTCCACTCTGAGGGTGCATTGCTTCTGTTCTCAAGTTGTGTGAAAAAAGGCAAAATACAGCACTTGTGAAGAGATGTTTCTTGTTGTCAGTGCAGGATGTGCTGGGCCATGACCATCCCTTTGTCGGAAGAATTCCTGGGAGGTCCCCACTGGCTTTCTAGAGAACAGAGTATGACAGGAGGGCCACTTCTGAGGAACTTTCCCTGGGCCCCATCGATGACATCCGACCTCTGACAGGAGGATGAGGTAGGATAACAGAGCCAGGGCAGCTGCCTCCTGTCCAGGTGGGAGGGTTGAACCTGGCATAATTCAATGACCAAGATCATCTATCATCATTCCTCCTTTTCTGCAGATGTGTGTCTCTCAGTATTATCCAAAGAAGGTTCTGAGCTTCTGGTAGCATGAGGAGGATCAGAAGAAGCTCTGTCTTAGGGGAATTGCTGTGTGAGGATGGAGTGGTTTGATGGAGAAACCTGGTTCACACTAGACACAAATCTTGGATCCCTGAGACATCCAGCCTAAGGCTCCTCCTCCTTGGTACTAGGGGATTCAGGAACTCTCACACCTCTGCCAAACATTCCTCTTGGAATATCAGGGACATAAAGATACCTTTTGAAAAGTTGAAGTTTAAGTTCTTCCTAAATCATTATTTCTCTGAAATATGGATTTTCTTTTCTTTTTTTATAATTTTTAAATTTTTTTTATTTTAGCATATTATGGGGGTACAAGTGTTAAGGTTACATATATTGCCCATTCCCCCCTTCCCCCTCGAGTAAGAGCTTCAAGCATGTCCATCCCCCAAACGTTACACATCTTACTCATTGTGGTTGTATATACCCATCCCCTATGACATATGGCTTTTATTTTCTTAAGTTATCAAAGTTTTATCAGCCAAGAGAGCTCTCAACCAAATATCAAGAGCTTTATTCCTCATGATAATTGATAAGATCCAATGGTACTTTCTAATTTTTCTAGAAGAATTTTGGCTTGGATTCTGAAGGTATCTAGCTCTTCATGTGCATGAATGATCCTTTCATCTGCTTTGAAAAGATTCTTCTCTTTCCTTCCATAGTAAATCACTTTACATTGAATATTGCATAATCATTTCATTTTATTAATACAGTTTAGTAATGACTTTGAATTTCTGCTGAAGCTTTAGAATCTCACTTTCAAACTGGATTTTTCCCACTGAAATGAAGCTAGTGCATTTTGAGACTTTTAATATTATCTAATAGTGCATTTGTTATTTTGACTTCTTCAATAATTTAGTGTATACTTGATTGCTTTTAACTTCAAGAGTTCTTAAAGATACATTTACTTTAGCCACATAC